CTATGGGAAGAAATAAGACGTCAAGTTTGTGACTAACACACAAAGGGCCACTCTGAACACAAACAGTACCACCAAAACTAGTAGCACAATGACAACACTCATTTATCAGAACAAAAGACTCTTGTATCTTCTCTACATGGCCTCGAACAGATTCACAGCCATCACCAGGAAATGAATGTCAGTACCCAAACTCCCTTTAGAGCTCTCCCAGACATGGAACGAGCAGTAGATTAGCGTTCCATATTAACAAAGGTAATGTCATATGACAGAGGACAAATAAGGAATATGGCTTAATTTAAAATGTAAGAGTTAGTAATAGGCCTTACCTATTGGAAGAGAATATTAAATCATATTCACGGTGATTTGTTATTTGAGAACTGCCTGGGGGAGAGACACTTCTGCCTACACCCCTCCTTTCAGAGATATTCAAGCCTCCTCCTGTCAATCATGAGATCCATTTATCTCATCACACCAAGTCCTCTCTCACATCTGAAAAGGAGTCAAAATTTCCGACATCACAGTCTCAAAAGGAATTGGATGCAGTATTACTCTCAGTATGTTTCACTCTGCAATGTGAAGTTCGTAATTATCTGGATTCAGCAAAGATAGGTTCATACTGACTACAAGATTATCCTGTGGGTATCTGGGAGTGGAATGTGACGATTCTGATCACAAGAGCATATATAACATTTCTATTCCACCAGAGGCTTCCCTAAATATCAAAATTCATTCCAAGGGAAAAGGAACTAACATCCCATACAGCAACTGTCTCACAGTACTCTGTCCCTGGAAACTAGGAACTTTAGGAACAGAGAGGTGAGCTTCTTAAAGTATGGAAGAGTATAGGTTTCTATAATGTATAGGTGGAGCCAGGTGTGGTGGGACATGCCTTTAATCCCAGCACTCTCAAACAAACAAAAACAAGAGAGAAAGTGAAATAGAAGAAAAAAATAAAAACATTATATAGGTGAGACTAGGTGTCTGTCCTTTCTGGAAGTCCTGAGAAATCTGACTATTGCCATGTGATCCAGAGTCAGCTAAGGGGCAGCATGCTTATCCAGCCAAGCAGGAAAGTGAGTTTCCTTCAGCTCCTCAACCACCAGAAGCACGGGAGGGCTCGGAAAGCAGGGGCGTCCTAGGAGACTGGACACTCACAGCACATGGCTTTGGCGTGGCGCCCTCTACCCTGTCAAACCTGCACCCGGGTGCAGTGGCCCAGCCTAGGTCAGCACAACACCTCCAGGTGAGCTTCTTCCGCATCCCTGCTAAGCAGCCCAAGTCAGCTCCCTCCACGCCACCTTGCAGTTCCTCAGATCTGCAGGACGGCGCTGCACCCTGCACCAACCTCCATGTCAGAGATCCAAGCCCAGCGCTGAGCAAGACACTCACCTAACTTTGGGGAAAAGCTAAATTTGAAGAATGAACATGGAGGTTCTGGATCCACAGCCCTTTCCTGTGTCGTCATCGTAATCCAGACTACATTTCCCATAAGTCAGCGCGAAAGACTTATTGGAGCCCACTGAAGGTGTTTTGTACAATGCCTGGGCTCCTGCCCAACTGCTTGCTGGTGAAGAAGGAAATGGGCTTGAGCAAGGGGGACAACAGGGCGTCAGGTTGTTACAGTCACGTGATCTGAGCACCCAGTGTTAGCCTGTGAGTATGGACAAGGGTGGACTAGCTTCAGGTAAGGGCTATAACACTAGACTATAAGGAAGATGGTTTTGGTTTAATACCCAATTATACAAAGAAATAAGTAATCCCTTTTCTCATTTGCTGACACTGACAGTTGGCATGTGAACATTGAATCCATGCAGTAATGAAGGGCATGGGTAATGGTCACGGTGATGTTTAAAATCATGGAACAAAGTAAAAACTACAAATCTCTGACGTTTACTTGCAGTGAACTTCCAGAATCCTTCTGAAGACTTTTCTGCACATCCCTTGTCCGCGCTTTATCCCATTAATTTGTGACAAATATAAACTTTGTGTCACAGCTACCACAGCAATCTAACCTACTTCTCCCTGTCTTTCCTGAGCACATTCTTTCCTCCTCTGCACCTCCCCCAGGAGGAGGGGCAGGACACCTGGGATCACACTGAAGAGTGTACTGTACTACTTCAAGGTGCAGTATAGAGTTTCCCTCTGAAATAGGTTTAGAATTCCTTATCGATTATCCCCTCTCTCTTTTGATCCTCACATCATCGGAATATACGATTTGAATATCAAAGGTATCTGTCTTTAGCTTACTTCGTTTTTGAAGCAGAACCGTGAGCTGCTTATTACTTGAGTCCACAGTGGTCTTCAGGTAACTTAGGTGGATACCTTCATTTTCCTGAAAACACAAAAACAAACCCTTTCCCATCTTAATTTTAGAGAAGTTCCATTTTGGCAAGTTATATCTAATCAATGAACAGCCTTTTGTTAGTTTCATACATTTGTTTAGATGAAATGACCATGTTATTTGATGAACTATCATCTCTTCTAATTAAGAGGTATCTATTGTTCAATTGTGATGGTACCATAGCTTTTCTTCTCTTTGGAAAAAGAAAAGAAAAAGCTCTTCCCAAATGTAACACATGTCCTGGTGTCCATTCTGAAGTCAACACATCTTTAAAGTATACCAGCTAATTTAATTCCATGGTTTTTCATGTTATCCTATGTTTCTCTACATTGTATTTTTGTCATTAGCACTTAGAAAATTCAAAGTTAATAAAGCATCATGCAATCTTGTTCTAATGGGACAAGCAGGCCTGCTTTTCGTCCTGCCCGGCTCCTGCAAGGCTAGCTTTACACCCAAAATAACAACACACAAATTGTATTCATTTAAATACTGCCTGGCCCATTAGTTTCAGCCTCTTATTGTGTAATGCTCACATCTTAATTAACCCATTTCTATTAATGTGTGTAGCACAATGAGGTGGTGGCTTACCGGGAAAGATTCAGCATGTCTGACCTGGTGGCTGGATCCGTGGCGTCTGACCTCACTTCCCTTCTTCCCAGCATTCTGTTCTGTCCACTACACCTATCTAAATCCTGCCCTATCAAAAAGCCACGTCAGTTTCTTTATTAACCAATGAAAGTTACAAATAGACAGATGACCCTCATCCATCATAATCTAATTATGGTGGCCTTTGTTTAATGTCTCTTTCTCTTTATTTAACATATCCTTCAATAAAAATAATTAGAATTTCCTCTTTATATTTTTTCAGGAGCAATTTTTAATCCCAAAAAAGGCAAAATTTTCCTTACCTTTTGAAACATTGCAAAGTATATAGATTTTGATCAGCTAATAAAATGTTATCCATATAAAGTTAACCTATAGAATCAGGAACTGCTTATGCATCATTTCTAATGGCTGACTTATAAAATATTTGAACAGGGTGGGTCTATTTAATATTTCCTGTGGGAGACCATTTCATCGATATCTCTTAACAGGATACGGATTATTACAAGTAGACATGATGAAGGCAAATTTTTCTCTGTGTTTTTCTTGTAAAGGTACAGTAGAAAAAACTCCTTCCCATCAAAAACTCTAAGTAGGTAAAAACCCTTCTTTTCCTGTGGATTCTACTCTGTGGTTTGGTGTTTTCCCCTGATGCTACATGTTGCATTTGAGATTTTTTTTTCTTTGAATTCTTCATCTGGCAGAGAAACCACAACAAACCAGAAGCAATCAAAACTCCCTGATGGTAACCCTGCAACAGCAGAATGTGTTCTCCATATTCCAGCCCCACAAGATGTTTGCCTCTGTTGTGTTTCTGAATTTAGTGTTGTCCTCTAAAACCAAGGTCTCTCTCCTCTCCTCTCCTCTCCTCTCCTCTCCTCCCCTCCCTCCCTCCCTCCGCCTTTCCCTCCCCCTCTCCTATCTCTGTTTTTATACCACCACCTTCTGGAATACACATGCATTTCTTAAATTGCCCAGGACTGCTTTGAACTCAACCACCACCGTACTCGTAAGAGGCAGACACCAGGTGGCCACCAGACCTCTACTCATATTTCATTTCAAAGGCTTAGCAGTGACTTTCCCATGTGAATTTCTTATGATTATCTCAAAGTAAAAAGTCAAAATGAATGTTTTACTCTGGAGTAAATTTCTAAAATAAGCAAACCTGTGTGTGAAATCACTGTAAAGTGACAAAAAAAAAATAACTAGTGAAAGACCCCAGTGGTGGGCAGTCTTTCAGGCTGAGGAGACCCTCCCAAGGAACAGCGAGTCACTCTTCGGATGCAAATAGCAAGAGGCTTTATTCAGTACACAGGTACCTGGGGCGACTTAGTCTCTCGGAAGACAAGCGCGCCTGCAGACTGGGGGAAGGTCTTTTTATAGGAAAGAGGGCAGCAGAAGCAGATTACAGAAGCAAATGCATTGTTAGTGGTCAGTTGGAATGGGGCAAGGGGCACAGATGTATGGCAACAGATATCCTGTTCCTCTTCTGGTTTTTCCTTTCCCAGCACAGATATATGGGAACAGATATCCTGCTTTACAGCCAGGGACCCTGACCTCACTCTGCACTTACATTTGTTCGTCAAAAGCCTTGTGAAATGACGTTACAGCAGCTAAGCTGGGATCTTTCATAGGGGGAATTGTTTCTTTTGTGAATTGCTGATATTCTAAGTTGGGCACATGTGCTGACTATAGGCATCCTGTTTCCCTAAGCAAACGGGATGTTCTCATGAGAGCCGGCTAGCTGCAGGTCCTGAGAGGGTCCTGAGGGTCTTAAGCGAACAGGATGTTCTCATGGGAGCAGGCCAGCTGCGGGTTCTGGGAGGGGGGGGGGTGTCCAGAGGGTCTTTCACTAGTAAATGTAATAAACATTGCTGAGAGGTCTCCATACACTGAGGATTTTAAGAGTAGCCTGACCACCAGCCAGTCTCCCTCCAGCGGCAGCAGGTGGTGGCGGCCATTCTTTCCCAAGATCACATGAAACCAGCCCCTACCGGAGCTCTATTACGGGGACTTATGGGAAATGTAGTTTCAATCATTGTGATGTCACAATCATGGATCGCAAAGTCGCCTTCTGATTTCCTGCGCGCATTCCACCCTCTGGCTTCCCTCTCCAATTTGGACTCAAGGGTTTTACTACCCTGCTGGGGTTGCATCTCTGAGCGCAGGTTGGTTCGGGGTGCAGGGCAGCCAAGCAGGTCTGAGCGGTAGTGCAGGGGGAGCCGGTAGGTCCATCGTGAAAGGAGTGGGCGCGGGGCCGTGGGAAGAAGGAAGAAGCTCACTTTGGATTTGCTGTTCCTACCTAGGCTGCGCCATCCAGGCAGGATGTAGGTCCCTGCCTGAGAGTGGGCGCTGGGGTCGGTGCTGGGTCCCCTGCTGCTCCAGTCCTCCCGGGATCTCGCTCCCTGACAGGGCGTGTCGGCTGCCGATGGCTGTAGTCAGGATTTTCAGCGGTCCAGAGAAGAAAGAGGGGTTTCTGATCCTTACTGCGCTGTATATTTGGTTATAATGAGAGATCTAGGAAGGACGTGCGGACCCTTATTTGACAAAGCCAAGTTCCAGATACGACACGACGATTATTTTACTGGAGCTCCCAAACCTTTGTGCTGTGTTGATTGCTGACTAGTCAGGGATATATGCTATACATGACCATAGTGAATTTTATCACAGATCTCTGCAAAACTGAACGCAGAGAAGGTTCAGTACATAGACGTAGTTTCAGATATCAAGCCGACGTCTCTTTATTACTAGTTGTGCACTAAAATTGGAATAAAATAATGCCTTTATACTGTAGAAAATGATTCTTTTTTATAGGGTTGGTGTTTGTGCGCCCCCTTTAATCTCCTCCCTTGCCAGAGTCTGATCACTTATAAGTCTTTAGTATTTAGGACAATTTCAATTTGGAGCTCAGGAATTCCTTCCTGTTAGATAACAGGATACATAGAAGTTGTGAGAAATATAGAAAATTCTGAAGTTTTTCAAGTAAATATTAAATTATATGCAGCATATATTGTAAATGATAAAACATGTGAACACTCTCAATGCATAAGTGTTCCGTGGAGGAAAAACTAGCCGGCAGGCGTTCGTGTTTCCTGTATCCTGAAGATTGTCTGATGGAACAGATTCTCAGGCTGTACCAAAAATAACTAGAGTTGAAAATCTGAAGAAATTTTAACTTATAAACTTGTAATTTCTGTTCAACCTTTTTGGCCTCTAAGGAAATTTTGAGAACATGCCATTATCTTTGCATTTCTTAAGCATCATATTGCCCAGAGGAAATACATTTAAATTTTTTATGAATTCCTTTTACTCCTTATTAGTTTTTCCATTTCTATCTCAAATCTGATTACTTTGTTATTTTAAATTTTTGTGCCAGGAAAGAACATGAGTATTAGCAAGACTGTGGTGGTGCACACCTTTAATCACAGCACTTGAGAGGTAGAGGTAAGTAGATCTCTGAGTTCATGGCCAGTCTGGTCCACAAGAGCTAGTTCCAGGACATGCTCCAAAGCTATGGAGAAACCCTATCTCAAAAAATCCAAAATAGCCGGGCGATGGTGACGCACGCCTTTATTACCAGCACTCGGGAGGCAGAGGCAGGCGGATCTCTGTGAGTTCGAGACCAGCCTGGTCTACAGAGCTAGTTTCAGGACAGGCTCCAAAGCCACAGAGAAACCCTGTCTCGAAAAACCAAAAAAAAAAAAAAAAAAATCCAAAATAAACAGGCATAAAAAATAAATAAAAAGGAATGGATTTTATTCATTTATTTTGTTAATATTGCTGTTAAGTGGATCAATCTACAGTTTTCTTTCAACATCAGAGATCTGAGAAGAAGTTAGAGCAGGAAGTATACTCCAGATTGCCTCTGTGTCAATAAATGTTTTAAATGTCATATTCAATGTATCTCTAAGGATTTTGAGGATCATCTATTAAGTGTGCCTGAATTTGCACAAACTTTCTTTGTATTTACTTCTCTATTTGACAACATGTATGGAAGAACTAAACTTGTTCTCATAAATGAATTACATTTTTGCTAAGTTTAACTACATAGTTCTGAGCACATGGAAGAATTGAATCATCTCTAAGGTGACTGACCATTAACTTGTATGTTTTAATTATCACAATTTATAATAAGTTAGTAGCTTCTATAAGATGAGGATTTTACAGTTTTATCCCTGTTAAGCTTGAGTCTTAAAATTTTGAATTAAAGATCCCTTAGCATTGAACTAAAACTTTAAAATGTAATTCTAGTTTGTAAAGACAAAAATGCTAGTCATATTTCTTTACGTTGGTTTCTGCTAGCCTAAGTAGACCTTGGGAATTTAGGCCTCACTCATAAAATATATCTTGTTTTTTTTTTACTTTAAAATTTTAGAAGTCTAGTGTTAACAAAGAAATAAGTGGTTAAACTTATACTTACCAAGACATAAATTGTTAGACATACATCTCTCAGTCAGCTTTTTGTCAACTTGAATAATCATTATAATCTTAGGAATTTAATGGTATATAAAATCCATTCTAATCTAAAATACATTAGAGACCTGCTGTTGACAGTTTGGTCTATAAAAAAATACAATAAAACCTAAAGGGGACAGTTGTACTAGGAAGTTTTATAGGTGCTGCATAGCTCGTTTTATACATCATGGTCAACTAAATCCGAATGATGGTGAATTCATATGGTGTGTGTTCTTCAGTTTTTCTAAAGATGACTTCTGGGGGGCTGGAGAGATGGCTCAGTGGTTAAGAGCATTGCCTGCTCTTCCAAAGGTTCTGATTCAATTCCCAGCAAGCACATGGTGGCTCACAACCATCTGTAATGAGGACTGGTGCCGTATTCTGGCCTGCAGATATACACACAGACAGAATATTGTATACATAATAAATAAATATTTTTTTAAAAAGATGACTTCTGAACACATGGTTGTCTTCATCCTGATGAGGTCATCAGTCCAGATGGAAGCAAACCACGTTGCTACTATTTAAAAACTTTTTTTTGCAGTGTTTTGTTATAGTCCTATATTCCTGAACAAGAGTTGAATCATATGTGTAGTATACTGTAGTAAATGGAAATTTCTTATTTTGTTTCCTTTGTCTCCCATTCCCATTGTTTACACAAATCATTGACAAGAATTTTTCTCTCCTCCTCCATGGGGTCTCGTTATTTTAGCTCCTATGATAATAAAGTAGAAGAGGTATTGCTCTGAATATTTCATTCTTTGACTCTGAACAAGTATTTCACTAAGTGTATTAAACACTGTCACAAGATACTGAGAAGAACCTGTATTTATCCCACTCTTTCATTAAAGGTCATGAACCATTTAAATGAGTTCTTTTGTCACTTTGCCTAAATTTCATGCTCAGGAAGCCAAACCTCAGCCCAGACTTGCTGGATCTGTTCTGCACCCTCATTGTATATACCGTTTGAGGTTGTTCCTATGGGCTGAGCAGTACCCTCTCCATCTCCATGGTTCTGTAATGTTGGCAATCTATGTTATGTTTGCTGTATCATGATACTAGCACGGGACACAATGCTTATTTTATCTCAAGATTTTATTATTTATTTATTCATGTTGTGTGCACGGTTGTAATGCTAGTGTTCTTTTATAAGGTGATGTCTCATCATCTGTAACTGGAGTTGTAAACAGTTGTGAGCAGCCATGAGAATCCTGCCTGCTGAGAATCCATCCCAGGTCTTTGGAAGAGCAGTTAGTGCTTTTTACTACTAAACCATCTCTCCAGCCTGAACAGTACTCTTCTGGAGATACACTCACTCTTGATTTTATGGTTCTCATGACTAAAATATCCCTTGCAGTTTCTAGAATCTCCTGTCATTGAGTGTTCTTAATGATGAATCCGGTCAACATCACAACACTGCATCAGACTTGTTTACGGATATTTTTTCCCTATGTCAGAAGGGCTTCCAGCTCTCTTCTCACTATTGGTGACCTTTAGATTTATATCCAGAATACAGATGCCTCTCGTAATTTGTGTTTTTCTTCCTGTTTTAATTAATATAATACATAGTATTTATTCATTTTCTTTATTTCAGGAAATGTTGTCATTCAGGGATGTGGCCATTGATTTCTCTGCAGAGGAGTGTGAATTGCTGGACCCTGATCAGTGGAATTTGTACAGGGATGTGATGTTGGAGAATTTCAGCAACCTTGTGTTCCTGGGTGGGTTGTCCTATTTTTAAATCATTGCCGCCTTTTAAGCCCTGACTCTCCTAATCAGGAACTACAATTCCCAGCATACACCAGCAGTGGTTGTGCCACAGGAGCTGCAGCCTGAGGGAATTCTGTTCCCTCATGCACAGCCTCTTTCAAAGCTATGAAGGGAACTTGTATAAATCTCTGTCCTTCTAAGGAACTCAAGATTCAGAAGCTGAGGTGCACTTCCTCTCCGCAGAGGGAAAATATAGCAAATAGCTCACCTTCTCTCCTTGCTGTGTCTATGAGAAAGCTCTCATTATTCTCCACACCCGGACTTAAAAGCCCTTCTCCACCTGGTTCCTTCCAACCTCTTTTAGTCAGCTGGTTGCTGGCTCAGCTTCCTGAGCACAGGTGAATTTTATTTAGTCAAACAAATGTAACATATTTTTCCATCATTAATCACATGTTCCAGAGCATGAACAAAATCAACACACATTGAAGTAATATTCTACCACATGGGGGAGGGACTCTTCCACGGTGAACTCTTAATTAACTGTCAGCATCAAACTGGATTTCTTTCTACAGTATCTCAAGGGTGCTTGTGCTTCCAACAATGAAATTTATGGGACAAATTTTAGGGATCTTAAGGAGAGTATTCATATGCCTTAGAATGATTTTATTTCTTCTCGTGTTCTTAACACCTTCTCTTTGTTTTTAGACGTACCCTTTATATTGGGGTAATGTCATAAAGTAAGGGGCATGAGTGGGAAGCATCCATGTTAAAAAGAATACCACACGCTTTGATTTTAATATTTTTTCTTGTAACTGGGGAGCATGAACCTCAGTACCTGCACATCTTCATTACCTCCTATGCATTCTGATGGCCCCATCAGGAAATTCATAAAGAACTAATCCTCTATAGTCATTGATTATATCCATTCTTTCCTTATATATACAGTCCTAGACAGGACATGTGATTCCTAGTAGAACACACTAATAATAATGTTCTCTTTTCCCATGAACAGGCCTTGCGTCCTCTAAGCCATACCTGGTCACATTTCTGGAGCAAAGACAAGAACTTTCAGACATGAAGAGATTAGCAGCAGCTGCCATGGAAACAGGTGTGTAGGAATGAGGGGACAGAGGCCAGGGTGAGAGATTTGCAGAAAAGGAGACTTTATCAGCAACATTAACTCACAATGTTCTGATGGACATACGGTTTAAAGGATCTCCTTTTGCAGTTTCCTGTGAGAAGAGGATGTTCCTGGAGCTTTGATTCTGTTATGCTTTGTCCTTCTCCCATTAGATCAGCCTCTGTCTACAGTAACTGACTAAGCTCTGTAATTTCTACATAAACACTATGTCTTTTTTAGAATTTTGTCAGTAGGTCCTCATACATGAGATGTGTAGAAATCCTCCTGTCATCAATCCTTTAAATATATTATTTAACATTGAAATGCACAATTTTCTACTTATTCAGCCAAATTTTCATACATTGGAAAACTAAGCATTTAGGATGTCTATGAACTATTAAATTATATGTCTTCCAACTTGGACTACATTTATACTTTGTGTTCATCTGGACATAAAATTTCTATACGTGTTTAAGTGTCTCATTTAAATTAGCATCATAGTTGGTTTTCTTAATGGTGGATGCTCTGCCTTCCCTGCATGTTTGACATTGTTTATACTCATTTGTTTCTGTGTTCTATGTTGTCCTGTCTTTGTCTTTCACTTCTAGTTATGTAATTTCAACCTATCATGGTGGTTTTAATTAGGATGCACTGAATACATCTTTAGAATATTGAATGTAACGGTATTAATATTGAAAAATACAGGTCTGAGCCGGGCGATGGTGGCGCACGCCTTTAATCCCAGCACTTGGGAGGCAGAGGCAGGCGGATCTCTGTGAGTTCGAGACCAGCCTGGTCTAGAGAGCTAGTTCCAGGACGGGCTCCAAAGCCACAGAGAAACCCTGTCTCGAAAAACCAAAAAAAAAAAAAAAAAAATACAGGTCTGAGCCAATGTTTCTGTTTTTAAAAATAAACATAAATATAGAGAATTTTGCTCAGGTTTCATTCATTTCTCAACTTTTATTCACCAGGAAACAAACAGTCTACTGGCAAAGAATGTGACAAAGCCCCTCCTTGGATCTCACAACCTATTAGCCACCAGAAAATTAATCTAAGAAAGAAGCCATATGAGTGTGAAGAATGTGGCAAGGCCTTTCATGCTCCATCATTACTTTCAAAACACAAAATTGTTCATACAGGACAGAAACCCTACAAGTGTGAAGTATGCGGGAATGCCTTCTATTTTCCATTACGACTTTATCTACACATGAGAATTCATAGAACAGAAAAACCCTTCAATTGTGAAGCATGTGACAAGGCCTTCAATTATCCATCACAACTGTCTCTACACAGTAAGATTCATACAGGAGAGAAGCCCTACCAGTGTGAGGTATGTGGCAAGGCCTTCTGTTTTCCATCAAAACTTTCTCTACACAGTAAAATCCATACAAGAGTGAAACCCTACCAGTGTGAGGTATGTGGAAAGGCCTTCAGTCGTCAATCACGGTTTTCCAATCACAAAAGGATTCATGCAGGAGAGAAACCCTATGGGTGTGAAGTGTGTGGCAAGGGCTTCAGTCGTCAGTCACGACTTTCTGAACACAAAAGGATTCATACAGGAGAGAAACCCTACGTGTGTGAAGTGTGTGGCAGTGCCTTCCATGCTCTATCATTACTTTCTAAACACAGAATGGTTCATACAGGAGAGAAGCCCTACCAGTGTGATGTATGTGACAAAGCCTTCATAAACCCATCATCACTATCTGTACACAAGAGGGTTCATACTAGCCAGAGACTCTACCTGTGTGAAGTATGTGGCAAGGCCTTCCATGTTCAATCACAACTTTCTGAACACAGGAGAATTCATACAGGTGAGAATCCCTACAAGTGTGAAGTGTGTGGAAAGGCCTTCAATCGTTCATCACGACTTTCTCTACACAAGAAGATTCATTCAGGAGAGAAACCTTATAAATGTGAACTATGTGGTAAAGGCTACAATACTCCATCAGGAATCTCTCTGCACAAGAAGACTCATACCGGACAGAAACCCTGCAAATGTGAAGTGTGTGCCAAGGCCTTCTATTTCCCATCACAACTTTCAGCACACATGAGATTTCATACTGGTGAGAATCCCTACAAGTGTGAAGTGTGTGGAAAGGCCTTCGATCGCCCATCACGACTTTCTCTACACAAGAAGATTCATTCAGGAGAAAAACCCTTCAAGTGTAAAGTATGTGGCAAATCCTACAGTAGTCGATCAGGACTTTATTCGCACAAGAGTATTCATTCAGGAGAGATACCCTTCAAGTGTGAACTATGTGGCAAATCCTACAGGAGTCCATCCGGACTTTATTCACACAAGAGGACTCATACAGGAGAGAAACCTTAGAAATTAGAAGTATGTGTCAAGATCCTGTACTGCACCTTTACTTAAAGCACATGAGAGAATTTATACAGGCAAGAAACCACACAAAGTTGTGGCAAGGCTTCTATGTTCCATCATGACTTTCTGTATACAAGAGCATTCACACAGGAAAGAAACGCTACAACTGAGAAGTATGTGGCAAAGCCTTCCATTTATCATCATTACTTTCAAAATGCAAGAGCTCTTTTATATTTGAGAGAAACCCTATAAGTGTTAAATATGTGGCAATGTCTTTAAAACTTTATGGATTCTTTCTCATTTTTAATAATCCATTCTGGGAAAAAACCCTACTGTGAAACATGTGAAAAGGCCTTGTGTAAAAAGTCATATTTAACTCAGCACAAATTATCTCACACTTGGGAGAAAACCACAAGTGCAAGGAATGTGGAAAAGACTTTAGAACTTAAACACACGTTCTCAACACCAGGCTTTTCATTTTAGAGAGGAACATTAGGAGTGTGGAGAATGGAAAGGTCCTCCTCGAGCCTTCTGGTCTTAAACAACATCAAAGAATTGATTTGTGAAAGAAACCCTGTGAAGAATGAGCATAGATTTTTTGTAGTTTCTAAGACTTGAATCACCTGATCATTCATACTGGAGAGAAATGTCATTATTTTCATCAATTTTGAAAACACTTTTTATGAGCTTTCTAGTGTTTCTCAAGACAAAGTATTTCAAACTTCAGTGAAATAATACAAGTGCCAAAATGTTCATAAAATGTTTTCTTATTTCTTTAAACTCTATAAGATATCATAACATATTCTAGATAAAAATCCTTCAATTAGGTGGGATATCCTAATGCTAAGTGGAAAATCCGGGAAACAGAGATAGAAAGAGAAAGTAGGTAGAGTCAAGGTGAAGCCATGTGACTGCCAAAAGAGAATGATGCCAGAATATTGCCAGTTAATCACAGCCTCGTGGTGATACACAGATTAATAGAAATGAGCTAATTTAAGATGTAAGAGCTATCTAGGAATATGAGCTGTTGGCCAAACATGCTGTAATTAGTATAGTTTCTCTGTGATTTTTCCTGTCTGTGTTTCCGGGAAGTGAAAGAACAGTCTCTGTTTTCATACCTAACTCAGGATGAAATAACTCACACTGGAGAAAAGCCTTACAAATATCTAGAATGGCAAACCTCTCAACTGTACCTGAAACCTTAAGGAATATCAAAGAATTCATTCTGGAGAGAAACCCTACACGTGTAAAGAATGTGGCAAAGACTTTAGAGCTTACACATGACATTCTCAACAGCAGACTATTCATATTGGAGAGGAAGAGTATGACTGGAGAATGGCAAGGTCATTCACCAGCTTTCTGGATTTAAACAACATCTAACAATTCTTGTCAGAGAAGCCCCGTGAATTGTATGCTGTGGCATTTTCATACTTGTAAAGAAATTCTGAAACACCTGATAATTCATACTGGAGAGAAATGGCACTAATGTTGTAAATTTTAAAAACCCTTTCATTATCTTTTAGCACTTCTCAAGACATGGTAGTTCAAACTTCAGTGAAATATTGCAAATTTCAAAATATTCATGAATTGTTTATGCTTCTTCAGACCCTAAAAGATATAAAAAATATTCTGAATCAAAACCATACCAATAGTGTGAATGTGATAATGCCTTTGGAATCATTTAGACCTTACCCAAGATGAAAGAATTCATAGTACAAGGAAGGAATATGCTTGTGAAAAATACAGTGACATATGTTACCATTCAACCAACATCTGACCTCCTTAGTATCTATTCTAGATGGACACAACACAGCAGTGAATGGTGAACCAGTGCCTCTAATGACTCCTCATACCTTCAACCAGTGATCCGCAACCTTCCTAAAGTTGACACTCTTTAATACAATTGTATCCCAACCTTAAAATTGTTTTCTTTTCTACACCTAACTGTTTGATACTGTTAAGAATCAGAGTGTAAATATCTTTGTTTCTGATGGTTTTAGGTGACCCTTCTGAGAAGATGTTTTGACCCCCAAATGGGTAATTACCCACAGGTTAAGGACTGCTGTCATAAACAAAGAAAAGTGTTCATACTAAGTAACAACCATAGAATTTGAGGAATCGAGAAAAGACTTTTCTTTATCATTCACTCTAATATTTTCAGCCACATAAGACTGATATTTCCGGGTTCTAGTGGCCCTGCATGTGCATAAAAGCCCTCAGGCAGAAGTGCCTAATGCCTCCCAGTGATGTTAAAGGGCTCCTGCATGACCCATGTGTAGGTGGATCCACGTATGTCACAGGTAAGCCTTTGCACACATGCGTGAGCCCCGTCATCTGCATATGACAGCCACATCAACCCCCTGTGCACATGTGCTAGACAGCTTTTAAAAGATGAATGCACCATCTTCCCCTCTCTCTCTCTGCACACTGACTTCCCCAGGCCTGTGTACGTCCCCTCTAATAAACTCCTAAGCGGATTTCTTGCGTGGCTCCAGGTAATTTCATTGGTACTGTAAAAAAAGCTATTACCCTAGGCAAAAACTAATTCAGGCCTTTGCTGTTCCTTCTACAAAAAAGAGGTTTTATCATTCCTAGGACTAGCTAGCCATTATCCAGGCCCGAGCTCTTCATCTTCCAGATTTAACTCATCCTTTTTCCCTCTATGTAACAGAGAAGGAGAGATATGTCCTTGGGGTCCTAGGACATCAGCTGAGACCTCCCTTTGCACCTGTCGCACACCTGTCAAAGAAGCTGGACCTCACTACTCAAGGCTGGCACCCTGCATACGTGCTTTAGTGGCTGCTGAGCTTCTGATTCGTGAGTCAAAGAAACTAACCTTTGGGTCGCACACCACTGTCTTCTCCCACCATAATCTTTCCCATCTGTTCACTTACAAAGGTTTACAAACCTTACCCCCTTCCTGAGTTCTTTCCTCAAGGTGGAGGCAAAGGCACACCCTGCCCATGCCACTAATCAGCAGGCTGGATTAATAGCCCTTATCCCTACCTTCCAGTTAGCAAAGGGACAATCTTTAAATGTTTACACAGGCTCCAAATATGCCTTTCATATCCTCTGGTCCACACAGCTATCTGGAAGGAGTGTGGGCTTTTAATGACAAAAGGAGGATCCCTAACTAAATCAGGTTACATTATGGACTTGTTAAAAAGCCTCCCATCTCCCTAAAGCTCCATTATTTCCAAGGGAAATAGCCAGGCTGACCAAGGAGCTAGTGTAATGGTAAAAGTAAAATGCTGCAGATCTCTGAGTGGCAACAGCGGGCAGTGGGCCATGAGACCACACTGCAGGTCCCCAAAGTGGCAGCAGACAGCGTGCAGCTTGTCCTGAGAGCCACCAGAGTAGCTGCAGCTAGCCACAAGTCCCAGGCAGGGAACCACATGTTGGGTAAAAGACCTCAATAGGGCAGCCATTCCCATGAGGAGAGACAAACAGATGGGCATGCTATAAGATCATGCCACAAGTCTCTGAAGGCAGCTAGTCCCAGGTAGAGAGCCACGTGGTGGGCGAGAAAGAGAGACATAGATAGGCACGCCATGCAGAGTGATATTGTATATTTATTTAGTGGGTTATAGAGGGAAAGGCGGAGAAGAACAGAGAGAGAGAAGGGGAGAAGGGAGAGACAGAAGCTGCCTCTTTGAGGGAGAGACAGAAAAGGAAAGGACTCAAGCTGGAAGCTGAAGATCAGCTTGCCTCAGCAGATGGGGGAGGAAAGGAGTGTGGGTTGTCTCTTAAAGGGAGAGAGCAGACCATTATATTCCCATCTCAGTTTTATAATAAAAAAGCTGAAGGTTAGGCACAACAGGTTAAAGGAATTGGGGCAGCAGATTCTCAAGACTGCTTCCTGCTTATTTGTGGGTGTCATCTTGGGGTGGGACCTGAGAAAGCTGGGTGCTGGTCACATCCTGGCATAGCTGGTCTGTTTGTTCCTGTCCGATGTTTGTAGTATAGAAATGTATGGTGTCTCTTACACCTGTTTAAGGTATTGTCAGAACAGAGGTCAAAGTTAAGTTTAGGAAAAAAATTTTAGGACCAGTGAATTGAGGGGGGTGTATCTAACCTGTTTACGATGGATCCTTCAATTTGGCTCCCTGGAACTCACAAGAATTTTTCAGTTTGTGAAAACAAAAGTTTTAAACAGCAGCATATTTATATTAGAATGACTGTGACCGAAATTTTTGCACAATGAAAAGTATTTTTAAGACTAAAGAAGGCAGTGTGAGAGAAAAATTTGATAACTTGTATTTGTCCTCACACTTTTATTCCTTACAGGTCTTTTATTCGTATTTTGTTGAAATTTGTTTGGTGAGGTTGTCCTTTTAAACTGGCAAAACCTCTTAGCTGTCAAACTGCATCAGAGATCTTTTAGAAGGATAAAATTTTACTTGAGTTATTGATTAAACAACAACAGAGAACTTACTTGGATGGGACCTACAGCTACTCCTCAGGGTCCTCCATGGTTGCTAAAAGTCATATTTGCCTTTTGCTTTGGAGCACAGAACCTGTCAGGCTCCAGAAAATCCTGTGGGCTAAGAAATCTGTAGGAAGACAAGCCTGCCTTGACCTGAGCAGCTATGCTGTTGATTCCAGTGATTCTGTCCACTTCTGGAGATCTTCAGTTTACATGAAAAGCAGTTTTGCCTAGTAGTTAGTATTTGGCCCTTGACCCAAATTGCGGGTGGATGTTGTTCTGTGCCCAATTGTCTTCTGTCTTCTTTGGAGGAAATAGAATGCTACTGCTAGGAGCTAACCTGTCTCTTTTTGTAATGAAGTCTTTTAATAATTAAATATTTAAATGCCATATTCCTGAGGTGTCCGAGCAGTTGAGGGCTGTTTACCAGTTATAGATAAGTTATAATTCCAGTATAGAATCTGCCTGAGGAGCTGGGTCCAAGCTTAACTGTACTGGCTCTCAACTTAGCAGGTAAGACTTACACTCGTAAAAAAATAGAAAGAAAAAAACTGCTTGCAATTGAAGGTTAACAGCAGAACAGACAATAGTAGAGAACAGCTTAATATATTTTAAATCAGGGTTGGATTAAATATATCATACTGTAAGAGACTTAAAAGTACACACCAATTTAAAACATGAAACATTGCTTTGTAGTCTGAATGGGGGGACCAGACAGGGAATACCTCATTAAAGATGAGACAGTGTGGCTGATCTAATGGGAGCTCACCAAGGCCAGCTGGACTGGGGCTGATGGGGCATGTGATCAAACCAGACTCTCTGAACATGGCGGACAATGAGGGCTGAATGAGAAGCCAAGGACAATGGCACTGGGTTTTGATCCTACTGCATATACTGGCTTTGTGGGAGCCTAGTCTGTTTGGATGCTCACCTTCCTAGACCTGGATGGAGGGGGGAGGACCTTGAACTTCCACAGGGCAGGGAACCCTGACTGCTCTTTGGACTGGAGAGAGAGGGAGGGGGAGGGATAGTGAGGGGAAGGGGAGGGAAATGGGAGAAGGTGGAAATTTTTAATAATAATAATAAAAAATAAAAAAAGAATTCTTCTGAAAAGATGGAGGAAGGATTATATAAGCCACGGGTAAAGGACATCACAAGGGAACCCAGAAAAATAACTAGCCAGGGGTCATAGGAGCTCTTAGATTCTGAACTAACAGCCAGGGAGTCTGCATGGGACTAATTAGGCCCTCTACATATGTGTGACAGTTCTGTCAGCTGGCCTATTTGTGTGACTCCTAGCAGTGGAAAGAGGGATTTACCCTAAAGTTTTTGCTGTTTCTTATTGGAAGGAGAACTGCTTTTTAGTCCCTGGTGCCTAGCTAGCTTACACCCAAAATAATCACACAGAAACTGTATTAATTAAACCACTGCTTGGCCCTTTATCTCTAACTTCTTATTGGCTAACTCTTACATATTAATTTAACCCACTTCTATTAATCCTTATATCACCATGAGGTCGTGGCCTACCAGTAAAATTTCAGCACATTTACCTCTGGCCGTGGATCCATGGCATCTCTGACTCTACACTTCTTTCTCCCAGCATTCGGTTCCATCTTCCCCACCTATCTAAGTTCTGTCCTATCAACAGGCCAAGGCAGTTTCTTTATTCATTAATGGTAATCACAGCACACAGAGGAGACTCCCACATTAGTCTCTTGGGGACCTATTTCTCATAATTTCTTATACTGGGTTGGCTTGCCCAACATTAAGAAAGGGAGGAACTTAGTCTGAAAGCAACTTGATATGCCATGCATTACTGATATCCATGGAAAAACTGCCCTTTTCTCAACAGAAACAGAGGAGGAGTGCACTGTCAGGGGAGAGGGGAAGTGAGGGAATGGAATGGGAGGAGAGGATGGAGGGGAAATTTTAATAGGAATATAAAATAAATGAGTACATTTAATTTATAAAAAAGTAACACACAAAATTTAAAAAAAAAAAGATGGCAGAGCTTGTGGCGGACCTCTCGACCGGCGACGAAGAATGACCACCACACCAGGATTCCACTCAGATCACGCTTTTACTGGAGTGCCCTTGATTGATGGGGAGCATGGAATGAGGGGGGCAGGAGAACAAGGAACAGGAACCGGAGGGGCAGGGAGCTAAGGGGCAGGAAGCGAAGGGGCCAGGGTGCACTTAGGCAGCCGCTTAAATAGGGAATTGGCACACGGGTCGCCCTGTGATTGGCTGCCACCAACAGCTGACACCAGACCGCATCGGGATAGGCTCAATGATCCTCATCCACTGTGCATGCGGGAAGCGGGTACGCGCAGCTCTCAAAGCCATAGCCAAATATGGAGTTGTTTATAACCAACAAGACAGGATGTTGGCGCCATCTTGTAATGGCGATCCTGTCTGGCTCACTACAATTCCCCCTTATTGTTTGTAAGCAATGAGCGCAGGACTAACGTCATCCAATCTGACCCCCACGTCATGCATGATGTGTTGGTCGATGGAGGATGGAAGATATTTTCCATGGACACACCTTCCCCTGTGTAATGGGTACTCGAGGAACCCCGGGGGTGCAAAGGCTGTGTCGCAGGAACCTACAACCACACACCTTCCCAAGTGCAATGGATTGACAGATCCCATGGGGTGCAAAGGCTGTGCAGGAGGAACCTACATCCGCACACCTACCCAAGTGCAATGGATCAATCAACAGATCCCATGGGGTGCAAAGGCTGTGCAGGATGGAAGCCCTAAGCGTCTCTTAGTGCTGACAACCATATCTGGGGGAAGGAGCCACACTCCAGGGTAGCTAAAGCCTGAGAGATTATAACCTTGTCCCAATATAGCCTTATCCCTATTGGTCTGGGCTAGAAGGCAGCAAACCAACCACAGGCACAACACACAGCCACCCAGGCAGCTTGCCAAAAAACATGCCCACGCAACTGAAAGCACAGGGACCCTTTCTCTGTAATGTTACGTGCTTCTCCTAAAAGGGCCACTTTAGACTTATAACTCAAGGTTTCTATCGGTGGTAA